ACCCTTAATTACGTTTGCAAAGACCCTTTTTCCCAACCAAGTCATAGAAATCAGGTTCCAGGAATTAGGACACAGACATATCTTTTTTGGGGGGATATAATTCAGCCCACTACAGATATACTTTGTAATCAACAGTTCTCCTTTTTCACTTTCCCCACCTCCACTTTTGGCCTGGATGCTCTGGCACTCAGAGCCTATGTGCTGCAGGACCAAGAGGAGAGATCCTAGGGGATAAGCAGGATTTGGGGGGCCCCGATATAAAAGTATGTAGGGCCTTCATTGTATAGAAGAGCATAGGCTTGACAGCTGTACCATCCCCTCCTCTCCCCCACCTCCTTTTAAGCACAACATCTTCTGAGGTAGTATTTAAGTAAGCAGCATCATTACATAAATATACCTTCATGTAAACGTAATCACATGTTAAATATGTCTTGCAAACAAAATGGGCCAAGTAGAAGACAATGTATTGTGAAAGAGGCTCCAGCAATAATCTACTTCCTAGATCCTGGGTGACTGTTCACCTATTTTGGATCACTGAAGTTGTTGTTATGTGCCGTTGAGTCCGTTCTGACTCTTAGCAATCCTATGCACAACAAAGCAAAACACTGCCTGGTCCTGTGCCATCCTCACAGTCGTTGTTATGCTTGAGCCCATTGTTGCAGCCACTGTGTCAGTCCATCTCATGAGGGTCTTCCTCTTTTTCGCTGACCCTCTACTTTACCAAGCATGATGTCCTTCTCCAGGGACTGGTCCCTCCTGATAACATGTCCAAAGTATGTGAGGTGTAGTCTCACTATCCTTGCTTCTAATGAGCATTCTAGTTGTACTTCTTCCAAGGCAGATATGTTCGTTCTTTTGGCAGTCCATGGTATCTTCAATATTCTTCGCCAGCACCACAATTCAAAGGCATTAATTCTTCTTTGGTCTTCCTTATTCAACTTCAGGCTTAAGCATGCATATGAGGCAACTGAAAACACCATGGCTTAGGTCAGGTGCACCTTAGTTTTCAAGGTGACATCTCCGACACTAAAGTTATTCTTCCATTGTTGAGATCTCACCCTGAGTCTGAGCTAGGACATTCTAAGAATAAATCTTTTTCCTGATCCACAGCTAACTTATGTGGTTATTTCTTCTCTAGATGTCTGATCATGGACTTACTTGTCCCATTTATGTGCTTTTGTACCACGCATTGTATCATAACTCTTTTGGTTGCAAGTGTTGCAATTTAATTCAAATGAATTTAGGCATAGTTGAAATATCTTGACTCATGAACTATGCTGAAAGGTTGTGCAGTGAAACAAAAGCAGAACAATGATGCTGCTGGGTGGACTTCTGGAATGTTGGGAACCAAATAAAGCCAGGTTTCATCATATGCACCTCTTGCCTTAGCTCATTTCTGCTGGGGATAGGAGATATGGCGGGGAACAGAGCTGTGGGTAGCTGCTGGATTTCATGCCTTATGACTCTTTTTTTTTTTTTTTTTTGGATGAGGTTAGAGAAATTCCAAGAATGGACTTTGGCGAGCCTGGGATGTACCCACTAAATATAGTCAGGAAAAGAATCATGGAACACACCCTGGCTGGAGTAGGAGGAGGAAGTTACCTTTAGAGAAGGTGGTTGTTCTCAGAAGAAGGAAGGTGCTGGGAAAGCCAAAAAAAAGAAAGACAAGAAGAAGTCCAATGCAACCATCCTCACTGTCTCTGGCCCACTTGCTCCTAGAACTCCTCCATTCTTTCCAGCATTTTTACTTTACCTTAATCCTAACTCAAAGATACCTTTTTCAGTCTAGTCTCTCTTTTGATGACCACAAAGTCATTTCTAGTTCTAATCTTTAACCTGAATTTTAGTTCTTCGTTTCCAAAAATCTGCTGGTGTTCTCCACCTAGACAACATGAAGTCAACCCAGTTATAATAATCCCCAAACCATATTTACCATTTCCGCCACACTCAGACCAACTTCCTCTCTTAACTTCATTTTGGTTAGTGATTACATCACATTGCAACTCGCTCACATGCTGAGATCCTCCTTGATTCTTCTTTCTCTACCAACTGCCATATTAAGACATTAGTTGAGGATGTTTTTCAACATCTCCCTCATATCTATTCCACCTTCTCCATTTCTACTACCCCCATACTGGTCCAAATCATTACATTTGGAGTGCGAATGGCTCAAGCTCCCTGTCTTCTCCCCTTCACATCAAACCAACACAATGCCATTAGAGAAATATTTATAAAATCACTGCTGTAATCATATCACTTCCTTCTTTAAGGTTCTGTTATAACGAAAACAACACCAGTTGCCGCTGAGTCAATTCCAACTCAGGATAACCCGTGTGCGTCAGAATAGAACTGTACTCCATAGGGTTGTCAGTGGCTGATTTTTTTTGGAAGTAGGTTGCCTGACCTTGCTTCAGAGGCACCTGTGAGTGAACTTGAACCTCCCACCTTTTGGTCGGCAGCCGAGCACATAACCTTTTGCACCTGCCAGGGACTCTAGTACAATGAAAAAGCCTCAACTCTTGAGTTTGGCTCTATAACCTGAACTTTACTTACCTATACAGAACATGCCATGCTTATTCCCCCCTCTAGGCCATTGTCCTGCCATTTCACTTAAGCTCTGACCTGAACCCTAGTCGTGCTTTATGCCGATAGTTTTGGCACTTAATTCCAGGCAGCCTCTTATCATTACTTAAATGTGTCATACATGTTTGTGTGTCTCCTCCAACTAAGTTATACGATTCTACTATAAACAGATCATGTTTTATTATTCTTTGCACCTTAGAGCTAACTTGATTCTCCAGGTCTACTCAATTGCAATCCCCCTGCTGCTCTGCACACTTCTTCCCCCAAGGTATTTCTTGTTAACTACTTGAATATATAAAGCTCGAGGGAGAAACTCCTTGTGAAATGTTTTATTAAGAAAACTTTAAAGAGATTCACCTGGAAAACAAAAATAGGCTTGGAATGGCACTTGAGTCTACTCCAGATGAGTCCCAGTGTGGGCTGATTTGGTCTCAGGTGGAGGAGTGACCCAGACCGGGGGCAGCTGGTACAAAGGTCAACAAGTCTAGGTGTTCAAAACACTGGGTACATCTTCATGCTGAGGCCTTCCCCAGTGGGGACTTCTCCACAGGGAGGGCCCTCCAAAGAGGTCAGTGCTAATCATTTTACTGAAATAAGGATCAGAATAAGACTAGAGGTCTAAGAGTTTGCATTCAGAATGTGGTCTAGCCTCAGACTTAGGTGATGGGTAAAGTATTAGCATAGATCATCTCTGAGGGCCCCCTCAGTCTGGTATTCAGTTAGGTTTCCAAGATATGGCTTGAGGATGAATGACGTTGGCATGGAAATTAGACTTTAGTACCAAATTGGCCAGAACACATGGTAAAATTAGGCTTCCCCTTGGATCAGGGTTCAAGATTGTAGGAAGATTCCCTCCCTTGAAATACATGGGCAGAAAAAAATCAAAAGAGAGAAAGAAAATATTTTTTTAAAAAGTTAGAAATAGGAAAAAAATAACACTTCAATGACCTCATATTAGTTTCCTCTCCAACTTTTGGACCAGCTGATGTCACCGAGGCTCTTGGGGTCTAACTTGTGAAATGTAGGAATGACGTTGGGGAGGTAGATGAGTTGCGAAACGCCTCTGGGGGCGTTGGAAACAAACTCCAAATAGGGTCAGTGCAAAGACACTTACACCCAGGTACATCATAGTCACATTTCTGAAAACCAAAAAAAAAAAAAAGAAAAAGTCTTCCAAACCCATAGAAAACGGGCACATTGTGTGTAGGAGAACAGCGAGAGAAGCGAGGACTAACTTTTCACCAGAAAAAATTGGAGTTAAGAACATAATGGAGTGACATCTTTAAAATGATAAAAGAAAAAAATGTCAACAGTATTCTATATCTAGCAAAAATATCTTTCAAGAATGATGTTTCAATAAAGACATTTTCATGTACACAAAAAAACTGAGAGAGGATGTAGCCAGCAGACTTGTACTACACAAAACGATAAAGAAAAATTTTCTGACTGAAGGGAAATGACGTGAGATAGAAAAACTTTGATCTACAGGAAGGACTGGAGAGTACCAGAATGGTAAATAAGTGGGCAAGTGCAAACAGCTATCTTTTTTCTTCTCTTAATTTCTTTAAAAAATAACAGACAGTTTAAAGTAAAATTTATAACATTTTATTGTGGGGTTTACAATTAATGCAGATGTAAAATACATGACAAACATGGGATAAGGGATGGGGGATGGTGGTAATTGCATTTGACATGAAGTGGTACAATATTAACTCTAAATAGACGGTGATAAGGATTGATACTGTCATCCCTAGAGCAACTACTAAAAATTTAATGAGAAGAGGTATAGCTAAGACACCATGAGAAGATTTAAAATAAAATACTAAAAGAGTTTTATAATCAAAAAAGAAGGCAAGAAAGAATAAACAGAGGAACAAAAACTAATGGGACAAATGAAAAAAAAAAAATGCCAAAATGGTAGACCTAAATCCAGCCATATAAAAGAACATTCTACTTGCCTGAATTCTTCTTAGAAGTAAGGATGGTGTGACTTGGTCTCATATATTTTGGACATGTTATCAGGAGGGATCAGTCCCTGGAGAAGCACATCATGCTTGGTAAAGAAGTAGAGGGTCAGTGAAAAAGAGGACGACCCTAAACAATATAGATTGACACAGTGGTTGCAACAATGAGCTCAAATATAGCAATGACTGAGAGGAGGGCACAGGACCGAGCAACGTTTTGTTCTCCTGGCGTGAGGTTGCTATGAGTTGGAACCGACTCGATGGCATCTAACAACAACTACTTGCCTAGGCCATGCAGAGAGTTATAATTGTTTTATTCTTCTATGGGTGAGTCCATTGTTGTAAAGTGGAGAGACTCCCCATTATGTTTTAGGGAAGAAATTGGAACAGGTTCTGAAGACTTCATGAAGAATCAGAGGTATGTCCACAAAGAAGCCCTTTTCGTGCCCGTGCTCAGCACAGCACCTGGGGATCTGCCTTGTGCTCAGCCCTTACCTTTAGGCTTCTCTGCATCCAGAGTAGAATGGTCTCCACAGCCCTTCTCAGCTTGCTGCTGCCAGAGATCAGGATGATCGAATGACCAGAGGGACAAACTGCCATGGCCGCAACACAAACCATGAGCCCTATCTTGTTCTGCCACAGCATCATTAAGGGCACCGAGAGGAGGGCAGTGCAGAATGCCACCACATAGAAGCAGAGGAGGGAGATGAGCAACTTGAGAGCTTTGATGTGAGCCTCCAGGCTGGGACCGCAAGAGCCACTGGCATTGGCCCTCATTGTCCTCATGTGCCTCCCCAGTGAGACAATCAGCAGCCCTGAAGAGGCCAGAAAACAGAGGAAAGGGAGGATGGACCCCAGATTGCAGTAGAGGAAGGAATAAAAGGAATGGATCTTTGCATCCCCTTTTTTGTACTATTCACGAGTAGCACAGTTGTGACCATGAAGCAAGATCTGCTGGTGAAGTTCCACAAACAGAGGAACATGCAGGCACAGGAGAAAAGAATAAACACCAGCAGCACCTGGGGGATCTTCCTGGAGAACCTAGGAGCCATGCAAAGCAGGGTAGTGTGGGATATGTGGACAATCTTGGAGCAGTAAAGGATGCTGAGGCAGGTGGCGAACCAGAGGCTGACTTGATTGGTGACCATCCAGAGAAAAAGGTTGGTCTGGTAGCTACGGCTCAATGGGGCCTTCATCTGTTGGAAGTTGGTGAGCTGAATGGTGTCCAGAAACAGGAACCCATGCAGGAATAGCCGGGTGATGCTGAGACTCAGCAACACCAGGTCGCAGCTGCTCAGCGGCCGCCTCTTCACCACGTCCCAGAAGTTCAACAGGAAGATGAAGGCGTTGGCCAGGACCCCCACTGCAAATTCCAGGATCGAAAGTAACAGAAATACACTCTTGACCTCACAGGGCACAGTTATAACAGGGGTCAGAGTCAACATGGTGTCTCTTCTCTAGTTGGTGGATGGTCTTACACTCAGATGCCACATGGCAGAGAAGGTAAATGTGCAATCTGAGCTAGGACCGTCCATGCACAAAGCTTTCTTGCTTGGTCTATCCCAAATGAGGCACAAACAAAGTTCTGACAGGCAGCCTAGAGGAATGTTGTTGCTGTACAAGATATCTTTGATACACACAAGGACTCATTGTTAGAAGTGGAAAACTGATGACTTCACCTCTTGGCTGGAACAGAAACTTCTAACAAACTCAAGGGTTCTTTGTGTTACAGTCTCCCCAGAAGGCCTCAGCACAGCATCGGGGATGCAAACAAAAGAGAGTTTCAATTTCCCTATCCTAGTTTTTCATGTCCACCTGGACTGGTTGGATGGAGAGGAGAGAAGCATTTGCTTATGGATTACAAGGACGCTGGCAGCAGGCAAAGTAGATATTGTTGGTGGACAAGGTTTTGGAATGGTGTCTCTTTCCATTTGCATGCCTTCTATCTCCTCTGAGGCATCACTCTTATCATTGGTACTGTTTTAATATGGACAAGAGCCCGGTTTCCCCTGCGGCACGCATGTCTGACTGCAGGTTGAGTTGTTATTGCCAAAGGTTTTGTTCAACCATCTTTATTTTGCCAGGTGCTGTGCTTGGCAAGAGGAGCATTAACATGAACAAGACCAGCACTCTGCCAAGAAGGGAGAGAAGAAAGTGGTTAATCTTGCCTGGGTTATGGCGGACACTCTTAACTGCTCTCCCTACTTCCCACACCTCCACTGCCTCACTCCCATGTCCCACAAAGCAACTATAGTGATCATTAAAACACAACTCAGATCATGCCATTCCTGTGCTCAAATCATCCAGGGGTGCCCATCTCATCAGAACAAAGCCAAGTCCTTACAATGGCCACAGGGTCCTCTGTAATCAGAGCCCTGTTCCTTCTCAGATGTCTTCTGGGGTACTTGCTCCCTCTGTCTGTCTACTCCAGCCACACTGACCATGCTCCGAGAACTCACCAAGCACATTCCCACCCCAGGTCATTACCATAGCTCTTCTGGTTCTCTCTGTCTGGAATGCTCCTCGCTACACACTCCTATGCTTCACTTTGTTCCAATCTACTCTCAAAAGTTACCTTGTCAGAGAGAGCTTCTCTGACCACCCGATAAATGACCCCCTTGCCCCATCTTGGGTGCTACTGTCACACTTAAAACAACAAACAAATAGTTGCTGTTGAGTCAACTCCAACTCATGGTGACCCATGTGTGTCAGAGTAGAACTCCCCCATAGGGTTTTCAGTGGCTGTAATCTTATGGAAGCAGATTGTCTTAGTTATCTAGTGCTGCTGTAACAGAAATACCGCAAGTGGATGGCTTTAACAAAGAGAAATTTATTCTGTCACAGTCTAGGAGGGTAGAAGTCTGAATTCAGGACACCAGCTCCAGGGGAAGGCTTTCTGTCTCCTGGCTCTGGGAGAAAGTCCTTGTCATCAATCTTCCCGTGGTCTAGTAGCTTCTCATCGCAGGGACCCCAGGTCCAAAGGACGAGTTCTGCTCCTGGCTCTGCTTTCTTAGTGGTAGGAGGTCACCCATCTCTCTGCTCACTTCTGTCTTTCATATCTCAAAAGAGATTGACTCAAGATACAACCTAGTCTTGTATATTGAGTCCTGCTTCATTAACAGAATTGCTTCTAATCCTGCCTCATTAACGTCATAGAGGTTAGAATTTACAACACATAGGATAATCACTTCAGATCACAAAATGGTGGATAACGACACAATTCTGGGAATCATGGCCTAGCCAAGTTGACACACGTTTTTGGGAGACACAATTCAATCCATAACACATATTGCCAAGACTTTCTTTCGAGGTGCTTCTGAGTGGGTTTGAACAGTCAACCTTTCAGTTAGTAGTCAAGCACTTAACAGTTTGCATCACCCAGGGACTCCTGATTAACCTGTTGTATATTCCTGCATATATTAAATGTTCATCTCCTTTATCCACCCTAACCACACTAAAAATGTTAAGTTTCATGAGGACACATCGTAGGTAGTCAATATTTTTTGTATGAATGAAATTGTTGCAAATGAAGCATTTAGTAGTCTATAGCATCTCACGGATTACATCTAGGACGTTCTTTCACATTTCTAGAGATTATATTCTAATGTTGTTGTTGTTAGGTGCCATCGAGTCGGTTCTGACTCATAGTGATCTCATGTACAATAGAATGAAACACTGCCTGGTCCTTAGCCATCCTTACTGTTGATATGTTTGAGTCCATTGCTGCAGCCACTGTGTAGTCCATCTCGTTAAGGGTCTTTCTCTTTTTCGCTGCCCCTTTACTTTACCAAGCATGATGTCCTTTTCCAGGAACTGATAACATGTCCTGTTAACATGTCCATAGTATGTGAGACAAAGTCTCACCATCCTCACTTCTAAGGAGCATTCTGGCTGGACTTCTTCCAAGACAGATTTGTTCCTTCTTCTGGAAGTCCATGGTATATTCAATATTCTTCACCAACAGCATAATTCAAAGGCATCAATTCCTCTTTGATCTTCCTTATTCATTGTCTAGCTTTCGCATAAATATGAAGTGATTGCAAATATCATGGCTTGAGTTAGGCACACCTTAGTCCTCAAAGTGACATTTTTGCTTTTTAACACTTTAAAGAGGTCTTTTGCAGGAGATTTAGCAATGTAACGCGTCCTTTGATTTCTTGACTGCTGCTTCCCTGGGTGTTGATTGTGGATCCAAGTAAAATGAAATCCTTGACAACTCCAAATCTTTTCTTTGTTTATCATGATTTTGCTTATTGGTCTAGTTGTGAGGATTTTTGTTTTCTTTATGTTGAGGTGTAATCCATACTGAAGGCTGTGGTCTTTGCTCTTCATTAGTAAGTGCTTCAAGTTCTCTTCACTTTCAGCAAGCAAGGTTGATTCATGTGCATGTCGCAGGTTGTTAATGAGTCTTCCTCCAGTCCTGATGCTGCTTTCTTTTTCATATAGTCTAGCTTCTTGGATTATTTGCTCAACATACAGACTGAATACGTATGGTAAAGGATACAACCCATATGCAAACCTTTTCTGATTTTAATCCATGTAGCATACCATTGTTCTGTTCAGACCACTGCCTCTTAGTCTACGTACAAGTTCCTCATGAGCACAATTAAGTGTTCTGGAATTCCCATTCTTCGTAATGTTATCCATAATTTGCTATGAGCCACAAAGTTGAATGCCTTTGCATAGTTAATAAAACACAGGTTAACATGTTTGGCTGTAATTTCTGAAATCCAGCTTTCTCCCCTTTTAAACATTTCCATAAATTTAGTGAACTCTGGCCTTCTGGCATCTCTATTTCTCCTTGATCTCTAAAGGAATACAGACTGATTTCATGATCGCATCTACACACTCTGTGAACATTCTGGCTAGTCGCTCGTCTGAGTTTGAGCACCGACACCATTCAGAGACAAGATGACATTTCCCCTGGGTCTGGGGTATCTTTTACAAACACTTAGAAACGTTTTGACTTTTTCAGTTCTTTTATTGTTGCCCTTCATGCTTATTCACTCCCGCATTCATTTTGAGGAACGAATGAGGATGAAAGGAAAGGAGAAGTTGATGGTTCTGCCTTTGGGTCACTGTCTGTTCTATGATTCAGTTTCCTCTAAATGATGGGGCACCCCCACCCTGGCTCTGCCACCCACTCTCTTTGTGACCTTGGCAAATGGTTGAGCCTCCCTCTGCCTAGATCTTGTCTTTGTGGTGGAGGGTTGTGAGGACGACTTGAATGGACTCAGGTGACGTGCTTGGTATTAGGCTTAGCACATGGTGTCCATTCAATGAATGCCAGCTGTTATGACCAGGGCTCTATCATGTTTCTCCTTCATGTTCATATTGTCCCCTCTACTGCATATTCAAAGTTTTCCTTAACCCGAGAGCTTCTTGTGCTCCCCGTTTGTTTCCGTAGACCCCTCCTCTTTGTCTTTTTCATGTTTTTTTCTACTACAGCTCCTTTACTTATCAGTAATGTGACATAAATCAGTGATTACTAAACTACTGTCTTCCATTTTATTCTGAATTGTGGATGCACAGATATTCACACAGTCCTTCACGTACATACTCACATAGCAGCGATGCTGTATTTAATTCATTGCATTTGTGGCCACCTTGTTTGGGTCACTCATTCTTACAGAATGCCAGACACTACAACACGAGTTCTGTACTTTCAACTGAAACTGTTTTTCCCCTTCTCTTAACCACACCAACTGGTAGTGTTGTGCCACAGGTGGTTAGGAAAGGTGCCTCTTTCCTGGAGTGTCCAGATGGAAGCAGCCTGCTCCACTGTACAAGCAGAGATATGAAACCAAAGAGTTATAACCTTTTAGATCGAGGTTATAAGGTTTTATATCAAGAATCAGTAAGATCATTGATCTATGTCATACCCCACGGTAATGTTTCAATAATTAGGGCTCTTCGAGAGAGGAATAGCATAGCCCTCATTGATAGCCCTCCTAGGCATTTGATTTATGGTCACAGGTGTTTGGAACTATGTAAACAATCTACCGTGTGGGTAGTCTTTAGCAACTGACTGTTTTCTGAAAACTGATTCACCCCCGAAGCAAAGAACGGCTTAATTAATCACAGTGCTAATGAGAGCAGTAGGAGCGACAACTTCACTTCATCGGATGTAATCCAAAACCTGCCCGTCACTTGGACTCCGCAAATAAATAGACATTAAAACCTCCAAAAAGTATATAAATTTGTGTTTGGAGTTTTGCTGCCATTTATTTTTGGAAATTGGAATTGAATACTTTGAGTCGATGTTTTTTAATTGCTATTGGTTAGCTTGGCACAGCACACTGTTACTAGTGACATCAAAGCTTGTTGCAGTAGGATGTTTTGCTGAAGTGTCTGCAGTGACTAGATAGATGGATATGGTCAATAGTATTTATTAAGAACAAATATGTTCCAGTTTTTGTGATGGAAACTGGAGACATGCAGGTAAACAAAGGGGCAGAAGAAGAACTGAAGGAGTGTGGAGGAAGAGCGTCGCCCTCAGATGGGGAGAAGGGAGTTGGTCAGAGAAGGCTTTGTGGAGGACTTGACGTCAAGTCTGAGCCTCAGGATGAGTGAGAGACTCCTTGTTATGGAACATGTGGAGTCATCTTAGTAGGAAGTGTCACCCTAAAATTTAGCAACAAGATGAGCAACAATCTAATATAGCAGAGCCCAACAAATATCAGATGCAATGAATGACTTTAGCTACTGCACATTCTACAGATGAAGTGATACTATTGTCAGAAGACTTAAATTTTGTTGTTGATTTTGTTTTGTTGTTGGTGCATGACTTTGGAGACCCTGTGTGTTGGCCGTAGTCTTTATGGAA